CACCAGCAAGCTACAGGCCGATAACGCTGCTCCCGACTTTATCTAAGGTATTAGAAAAACTTATATTAAGCCACCTGTCCCCGCACATAACACCACGCACCGAACAGTTCGGATTCCGCCAGGGACACTCAACAACGCTGCAGCTGGCTCGAGTTTTACACGACCTAGCAACCAACCAGAATAAGAAGGAGCACTCAGTCATCGTGCTCCTCGATATGGAGAAGGCGTTCGACAGGGTATGGCACGAGGGCCTGCTATACAAGCTGTCGACGTCTGCCACACCACCGCGCCTACTAAAAACCATAGCTTCATTTTTGAAAAATAGAGCCTTCTGTGTAACCGTGGAAGGCCACCTATCATCAGAACACCCAGTACGCGCCGGCGTTCCGCAAGGCAGCTGCCTATCACCGGCGCTATACGCAGCTTTCACAGATGACATCCCAACGGTAGGCGACGTAAAGCTCGCCCTTTATGCGGACGATACCGCATATTACACCGCCTCAATCCACACGAATCACGCAGTGAAAAAATTACAGCCAACCTTAGACGCGCTCACCGAATGGCTAACCAAATGGAGGATGGCTATAAATATAGAAAAAACCCAAGCCATGACCATAGGCCGCCACCTACAACAGCCACCGCCACTCACAATTAAAGGTATACCTATCCCCTGGCTCACATCAGTAAAATATTTAGGTATAACCATCGACGCTCGCCTAACAATGCGCGCTCACATTCAAAAAGTGGTGGCGCGCACAAATTCCACGCGTGCACTATTGCGCCCCATACTACGCAGTAAACTACCAATCCGTACGAAATTAACAATATATAAACTTTATATTAGACCCTTACTTACGTACGCAGCGCCTGCGTGGTACGCGCTAGCTGCAGAGTGTCACAAGAAACGGCTACGTGTCCAGCAAAACACCGCGCTACGCACTATCACCGACGCTCCACGGTACGTACGAAACGCCACTATACACAAGGATCTAAAAATCGAAACAATCGACGCATTCATAAGCAGACTCGCAGAAAATATGTTTGACCGGGCAGATCACTCGGTGCACGCGCACTTGCGCGGCATAGCACCGGTCTATGATCGCCCCCAAATACGCAGCAGCAGAGCGCTCCCCAGGGAGCTTCTGCCCACACCAGAGGAGACCCCGCCGGGTTCCCGCTCGCGCTCACCCCGAGAGGTCGAGCCCCCACCACCACACTGATGACCACCCCCGCCCCTACCGCGGGCCCCCGGACACTACAACCCCTAACTACCAATCCTATCCTAAAAGCTGTAAATACATATATAGATTATAATAATAATAAAAATATATAAAATAAAGGAAAAAAGAAAAAATATATATATATAAATATAAAAAAAAAACAAAACAAATTAAATTAAAAAAAAAAAAAAAAAAAATAAAAAAAAAATGTATATATGTATAACCCCTAGTTATAAGATGTAAATAATTTTATCACTACCGAGTATCTTCATCACTACTGAATATACGAGTATGAATATGCAACACAGTGTTGCCAACTCGGATTTTGAAAAAGGCGTAGGCCCGATGAGAAAATTACGTAGAATTAGTAAATTTTGCATATGAAAAGTAAGTAGATCTACGTACTTTTTTCTGAGTGAAATGAAGAAGTTATTTGAAACCGAATAAAACGAGTATTTTGTTATACAATTTGTTTAACCCGGCGTTCGCACAGTTGGGTCTATTTGACCCGAGCAGATTTCAAATGAGCGTGTATCTTAAAATGTTTGTGCGACTTTGCCAAACTTCTCAGTAGCTGGAGCTAATGGTCCCCACTCCACGTGGGATTCGCCAATCAGTCGTGTTGCAGCCGCAGCGAGTGATAGACACGGCCAAACACGAAAAAGGTAAATATGACCCAACCATACTATTCGTGTCGTAATTTTGCGCCGTTTAAAAAAATGTTTTATTGTTGTTTTATATTGTTTATTTTGTTATTTTTGGCAAATATGTCTGGAATAAATGCGTACATATTACATAACGCCAATTTCTAAAGAAACTTAAGCCTTATACTGGTTCTTGAGCATTTGCGCAATCGTAAAGAGGTCATTCAGTTGCCAAGACTTATGCGCAAAAGAATAAGAGAGTTTTTAGGAGTAGGTACCTGATGAGGAGCCACCTGTGAAGATACTTTATGTAAGAAAGAGATACCAAGACTGTTCTGCCAAAAAAGATAGAAAACTAATACTTTTCGGAGCTGTATATGCAAATACATCTGCAGTGAGCATACAATGTTGTACTGCCGAGATTGCGCAGATGATAAGGATACTATGACTGACGTATGAGTCTGATTCAAATAGTATTAGTTTACTAAAGATTTGATTAACATGTAACAAATTAGTTTATGTTATAGAAAAAAGTTCGTTTTGTTAAAATTTTATTACTTTAAGACAGAGGTTGTCCATTTTGTTAATATTTTGTGACACTTTTATGAAAATGACATTAAAAAGATAGTTTCGTATCATGTTGTGTTTTTTTCTACTCAAAACCTATAACGATAATCGTTTTATACAGATAGTACAACCACAAACCAAATTTATTTTAACTTTTGTAATTATGGCGTTTTCTTATACGGGTCCTCTCGACCCAACCCTACTGTCGTTGATGCATATTTTGACTGTGTTGACGCCGGGTTAAGAACGCGAGATAGAACAAAGAGTTCTTGGAGAAGTCGCTGCGTTGGAAGCATTTACCATGCTGTGGTAAACATTTACCATCAGACACAGACACTGGTGGGTGCCAATTCTGAAGTTGGACCAACTTCATGCGTTACTTTTGTGTTTACCGCACATTAAGAAAATCTACCAACAAAATAGAAATAGAATCTCTATTTAGTTGGTGCTAACGACTGCATTGTGAAGGCCTATCAAAAGTATTTATTAATCTGGAACAACGGAACCAAAGCGCGATTCAGGAGACTACAGCGCCATCTCTTGACCATTGGTGTAGTAGAACCAAAAACCACATCTTTATTTTTTGTAATAAAGTAACAGTTATAGGTATTCATATTTATAATATTTATCCACATGTTTCTAGTTTGTATATTCGGAATACGTGTTTGAGTTTCATACAAGTGCAAATCACATAATTATGTTCTAATAAATTATATTCAGTAGCGATTTTAATTGAATATTTTGATTATTTATTTATTTTTTCAAATTAAAACTGAACTTTATTGACTGTGTCCTTTTCCAGACTTTTTATTAATTTATTGTAATTAATTATTTGCATGCAATTAAAAAGTAATTTTAAACGATGCCAAAGAAGGATAACTTCTCACGCGCCTACATAAGTACACGCACCCATTTTTTTTACCTAGAAGACATACAAAAACTCTCTTTAGTCTATAGACTTATCTATGCTATGACGTCAAAACAAACACTCGCAAGCACGTTGGAAATAAACTTTCTAAGTTAATATTATAAAACCATGATTTCTAATAGATCACATGAAAAATATAGTAGTTATCATGATACACTTGATAAAAGACTCTAGAAAAGTTGTGGTTTAAACTGCCAAGAGAAAAAACATACTTACACATGAACATATGCTTAAAAATTGCTAAATCCTGTAACTTTATCGACTGAAAGTCTTTTCTTTTTGCAAAGATCCATTCGATGTGAGTAGGTACTCATTGATAATATTAAAAGTTTAAAAATATATTTTTTAAGGTTATGAATGTACCTACTAAGTCAAAGAGTTTTGTCGTTTCTGCTTTCACAAATCCTGCGTCCAGCATTAATTTAGTCAACAAAACCAAAAACGGGAACCTTTTCTACAAGATACAAGAGTGTTTAGATGCATCTTTATAAGAAATAAACATTTGTATAGTTTTTAAGTAAAGTAACGGAAAATATTCTTCTTTATTCTAGTAAATTAAGTTAATTTACAAATCAGAAAAAAAAATAAAAAATACGTAGATTCTGGGACTGAAGTTAGTAGGTTTCCAGAAAAGGCCTAAAATACGTAGATCTACGTAAAAAGACGTAGAGTTGGCAACACTGATGCAACACTATCCCATTCACCTAAGCCCGCCGCCCGCTCGCAGGTCGCTCACCGGACTTCCCCAACGGGTTCCATCCGGTGGGCTTGACCGCGCCGAGGGCGGCGAGTGAAGAAAGAAGAGGACGGACACCAACGCCCACCCTACCCCGATGATAGGGTGCGATCCCGCAATGTCTGAAGTGGGCACACGCCCAGACCAGATTCCCCGCACGCCGCGGCGCCTACGGCGCCGGCGACGCGCGAGAAGACGACAACGGTATTAGATTGCATAAAAATCTGGCCCGAAACACATAAAAAAAAAACTTTAACTTTAAATACTTATAAAAAAAAGTGAAAACGTCACTGAAAGTTTCTAATCGAGTGACGATACGATCAAACGTCGTAGTATACTCATGACGGGCTGTCAAAGTTGTAACTTGTACTGCCAAAATGCAAACGACATACGAAAACTTTGGAAGTTTTCGTGTTACGATGACTTGATGAAACTCACACGGGATTTCATCGAGTGCGGTTGGCGTCTTATATTAATTATTCTTAAATTCGTTCAAAGTGGATATTGTGAAATAAAATTGGTGTGGTTTTGTGTAACAACCGTCTACGTAACTGAAGAATTAGTGGAATCGTTAAAATATATGCTGTTCCGGTCAAGAGGACGTGAGAATTTTATTGTAGTATTGACTACCTCACAGAAGCTTATGGAAAAAGTCAACTCGATAAATTTCGTGCCAAACACTCCAAGAAACATTAGAATGCGTCACACCGACATTCTAATGTATAAACAAAAAGATGATAAATTTAATTGAAGACCAGGCTGTATGGGCATTGTTCCCTTTGCCTTCCCTAGAACGGGAGAACTTCAACAAAACAAAAAAAAAAAACTAACTGATCTGAGGATTTCCGTTTTTTTGAATTTGAGTAAAAGTATTGTGTTTACAAAAAAAAGTTGTACGTATTAAAATGAGTGTGATAGATGAAAGTTGGGATATTTGTTTAAACTTAAAAATGATAGAAAGCGATCATTACCTTATTTTTGCAAAAATACAAAGCAATCATCAAGACGCTGTTGCAAAGTTGCTGGATGAAGGATTCAAAACACATCGTTTTGTTGTAAATGGGACACTAAATGTAAATAATGATGATGAGTTGCAAATAGTATTAGAAAAGAATAAGCATTTACGGTGTGTTATAAATAATAAAATCAGCGAGCTAGAGATTCAGCAAAATAAATATGAAACATTTAAAAAAGGCAAGTCAATCCCATGTCAAATAGATTCTCTGTTTATGGAAAGTACAATAATTAACCGGGTGTCCACTTTGTCTACTTCAACCTTAATTCATCAAAATTAATCATTGTTTCATGATTTTATTTTAGATCAGAAGTTATTATCGCAAGAGATAAAAGAAACTCATGAAGCATTTTTATTGGCAAAGAAATTTTATAAGAAATATTTGAAGATGTATTTTACAATTGAATCAAGAAATAATGCAAAACACACTATATTCATCCAATTTTTCACTGAATCTAAAAAGGAATCTGAAAATTATTCAGTTCGTCTGCAGCGTGACATTAAATCTGGTGTTTATGAATGTAAGCTAATTCATTTTATTTTTTATTCATTTCTGTAATTTTTTATTATTATTTTTTTAAACTCCAAGTAGCCTAGCTCCAAAGTTAGCACTGTAAGGCTTGTGTTATGGGATACTAGGGTAATGAATAGAATACATATACTGTACATATATAAGTATATTTATATAGAAATACATATTAAACATCCATGACTGGAGTACAAATGCTCGTATTCATCACACAAAAATCTGCCCCCACCGGAATTTGAACCCAGGACCTCTCGAGTCGGCAACACCATGAAACCCGGCGTACAAACCACTCAATCAATATTAAAATTAAGATTCTAGTCCTCAAATTTTTATTAACTTGGGCAGAAAAGTCAAAATTTTTCTTTGTGATTCATAAAATTGTGATAAATCGTATTTATATGCACATAAAAAGGCTGAATGTTCCTTACATATTTTTTGCATATCACAATCTTTTTGGTAATCATACCACTGCACTGCTAACTAGTTTTACGTTACATGTAATAAAATAATTTGTTTCCTTCTATTCAAAGAGTTATGAGTCATATTTGTTATATTGTGATCTTACAAATGATAATAAATTGATATTGTTAAATTGCTACTTGAACTTCTTTAAGGTTGTTTGGTTACCAAAAAAAATTTTAGACATTTGTCTTCAATAATTTTTTAGTTATAAAAAAATGTACATAATGAATTTTCTATATAATGAATTATATTATGTATATACATACATATATATTTCTTAAGTTTTCATAAAAACATGTTTTCTTAAAAACGCATATACCTGTCCAAAACCTGTTTTATATAATATGAATATACATAACATTACAAGTGAAACAAAAATATTTATACTTATGATAGTTATATTTGGACCCTAAACAAATTGATTCCATGAAAAGTGTTTTTTTTAATTGTTTCTAAATTAAGCTATATTTTGATGTCGATTCTGGCATGATTCACTAAAGCTAAACTTAAATTTGACAACAGTGCATCCCTGTCATTCTCTATACAGTATGAAAAGGAGAGACTGATGTTAAATTTAGTTTTAAGTTTAGAGAATCACGCCAGAATTGACACCTTTATGTGCCATTTTTTTCTGTAGTAGCTAAGCATGAAGGGCAAAAGCAAGCCTTCAGCGCTATAACCAAACCTCTGGCTACGGGACACAACCCCGATTTAAAATAAACAAATATCATAATATATAATTAAAGGAGTTAAAATATAATTCTAACTCCTTTGAAAACCTACAGGATGATGATACTTTAGCTGATGTTCCTGTATAGAAAGAAAAAGAGGCTAGGCCTCCTCCTATTTTTATAGATAATGTTACCAATATTAAATCACTCTCAATCTTACTAAATTAATGTGCTAATAAGAATTATGAATTAAGAACACTACGAACTGATGCAAGTCAAAATTCAACCTAAGACATGATGCTTATAAAATCATTGTAAAATAATTTGAAAAGAAAGATACTAAATTTTACACAGACAACCCTAAGCAAGAAAGATACTTTAAAGTGATTGTTAAAAAAATGCACTCTTCTACAGACTAAGAAGAAATTAAAATGGCCCTTAGTAAATATGGTCACAATGTAATGAATGTTTGGAATATGAAACAGAGAGTCACCAAAAACCCATTGCGCATGTTTATAGTTGAAATACTACAAAAAAACAACAACAAAGAAATTTACGACATTAGAGTGCTTCTGGGTCAAGCAGTTACTATAGAGTCACCACATCCAACACATACCATTCCTCAATGTGCTCATTGCCAACAATATGGTCATGCTAAAGCATTGTAGATGTAAACCAAAATGCATTAAATGTGCTAAAACTCACAAAACAGTACAGAGCAATCGGATGCTGTCAAATGTGAACTCTTCGAAGGAAACCACCCTGCAAATTACAAAGGCTGCATAGTATACAAAGATTTATTCAGTTAAAAGTTTCCAAATGCACGAAAAATACCAAGAGAATCTCGCCACGCCAATAAACAACACGAGACGAAAGAAATTACAGAAAGCTACCCAACAATTAACAAAGACAACCAACGAAGCTACGCAAGTGTAGTCGGCAACAAAAATAAAACTTATACAATTAGACAACCCCCTTCAAAAGACGATACCCCTTTATCATCACAAAATCAGACAAGTCAGACACAACAATAGATGGAAATGTTTAAACAAATCATGCAACAAATGACAACTATCACTAACCTCCTGGTAAACCTGACAACTGGAACTTAACTTCTTAGAGAAAAGTTTAAAGAAATTAATATTTTAACATTGGCGTCTCAATACATTTATGAGGTATATTACCCTAGCGTAACAATTTCATAAGTCCATATCCTAAGGTATATAGTATTTTGTTGCTAATTTGTTGCTATTTTGTGCCGCAAGAATTGATTTTGTTGCTCCATGATTTCTCCGAAAACCGCCTGTTACGCTAGCGTAATATTACGCTAGCGAAACCACAGCGATAACTCGGAGGCAAAAGCAGTTAGAGAGATCAGATGAACGGCATATTTTGTTGCTATTTTGTTGCTGTAAGATAAGCTGTTTAGATATGGAAAAATTCCCCCCCCTTCATGGGGGGCTAACTACCCTTATTCTTAGATATTTCAGATTTTTCGTATCTCGTGAACTAAAGCAGCTAGCGGCACGAGACAAACGGCGTATTTTGTTGCTATTTTGTTGCTGTAAGATAAGCTGGTTAGATATGGAAAAATTCCCCCCCTTCATGGGGGGCTAACTACCCTTATTCTTAGATATTTCAGATTTTTCGTATCTTGTGAACTAAAGGAGGCACGAGACAAACGCCGTATTTTGTTGCTATAAGGTAGGCATGCTGCGTACATCATAATCACAACCCTTATCGGGGTATGACCAACCCCCGACCTCAAGACACCAGATAATTCGTATCTCGTGAGCTAAAGCAGCTAGCGACCCGAACCCAACGGCGTATTTTATTGCTATTAGATAGGCATGCTGCGACCATCATAATCACAACCCTTATCGGGGTATGATCAACCCCCAACCCCGAAGACACCAGATATTTCGTATCTCGTGAGCTAAAGCAGCTAGCGACCCGAGACCAACGGCGTATTTTGTTGCTATGAGATAGGCATGCTGCGTACATCATAATCACAACCCTTATCGGGGTATGATCTACCCCCGACCCCGAAGACACCAGATATTTCGTATCTCGTGAGCTAAAGCAGCTAGCGACCCGAGACCAACGGCGTATTTTGTTGCTATGAGATAGGCATGCTGCGTACATCATAATCACAACCCTTATCGGGGTATGATCAACCCCCAACCCCGAAGACACCAGATATTTCGTATCTCGTGAGCTAAAGCAGCTAGCGACCCGAGATCAACGGCGTATTTTGTTGCTATGAGATAGGCATGCTGCGTACATCATAATCACAACCCTTATCGGGGTATGATCAACCCCCGACCCCGAAGACACCAGATATTTCGTATCTCGTGAGCTAAAGCAGCTAGCGACCCGAGACCAACGGCGTATTTTGTTGCTATGAGATAGGCATGCTGCGTACATCATAATCACAACCCTTATCGGGGTATGATCTACCCCCGACCCCGAAGACACCAGATATTTCGTATCTCGTGAGCTAAAGCAGCTAGCGACCCGAGACCAACGGCGTATTTTGTTGCTATTTTGTAGCTATAAGATAGGCATGCTGCGTACATCATAATCACAACACTTATCGGGGTATGACCAACCCCCGACCCCGAAGACACCAGATATTTGGTATCTCGTGAGTTAAAGCAACTAGCGACCTGAAACCAACGGCGTATTTTGTTGCTATAAGATAGGCATGCTGCGTACATCATAATCACAACCCTTATCGGGGTATGATCAACCCCCGACCCCGAAGACACCAGATATTTCGTATCTCGTGAGCTGAAGCAGCTAGCGACCCGAGACCAACGGCGTATTTTGTTGCTATGAGATAGGCATGCTGCGTACATCATAATCACAACCCTTATCGGGGTATGATCTACCCTTGACCCTGAAGACACCAGATATTTCGTATCTCGTGAACTAAAGCAGCTAGCGGCACGAGACAAACGGCGTATTTTGTTGCTGTAAGATAAGGTGGTTAGATATGAAAAAATATCAGCCCTTCATGAGAGGCTAACTACCCTTATTCTTAGATATCTCAGATATTTCGTATCTCGTGAGCTAAAGCAGCTAGCGACCCGAGACCAACGGCGTATTTTGTTGCTATTTTGTAGCTATAAGATAGGCATGCTGCGTACATCATAATCACAACCATTATCGGGGTATGACCAACCCACGACCCCAAGACACCAGATATTTCGTATCTCGTGAGTTAAAGCAGCTAGCGACCCGAGACCAACGGCGTATTTTGTTGCTATTTTGTAGCTATAAGATAGGCATGCTGCGTACATCATAATCACAACCCTTATCGGGGTATGACTAACCCCCGACTCCAAGACACCAGATATTTCGTATCTCTTGAGCTAAAGCAGCTAGCGACCAGAGACCAACGGCGTATTTTGTTGCTATTTTGTAGCTATAAGATAGGCATGCTGCGTACATCATAATCGCAACCCTTATCGGGGTATGACCAACCCCCGATACGCCCTTGGTCTCGGGTCGTTAGCTGCTTTAGCTCACGAGATACGAAATATCTGGTGTCTTGGGGTCGGGGGTTGGTCATACCCCGATAAGGGTTGTGATTATGATGTACGCAGCATGCCTATCTTATAGTCGCAAAATAGCAACAAAATACGCCTTTGGTATCGGGTCGCTAGCTGCTTTAGCTCACGTGATACGAAATATCTGGTGTCTTCGGGGTCGGGGGTTGGTCATACTCCGATAAGGGTTGTGATTGTGATGTACGCAGCATGCCTATCTTATAGCTACAAAATAGCAACAAAATACGCCGTTGGTCTCGGGTCGCTAGCTGCTTTAGCTCACGAGATACGATATATCTGAGATA